TTGCCTCTAGCTGCTCCACCCTCACTTTGTGTCAGCAGGTAGAGAGCGTGATTGCAGTCCCAGGGGAGGGAGTCAGAGCTAGAACACCAATTACAAACCACAGGCTTCCTGCTCTAGGGAGTTGATCCAGAATTGTCTTTCTGGAAGGGAAGCACTTGAATCTTTCCGAACTTTCCAAGCCCATCCATGATTCAGAGATACTGCTTTCTCCCTCTGGGATTTTCTGTGTTCCTGGTAGTGAATTGTTGCTGGTGTATTTGCTACTTTGCTCCTTTTCTCTCTCAAGATTTGATTATTTTATATGCTGTTCGGGGAGAAAAAGAACTTTTGTTAGGAGATTTCAGAAATGATTTTGGATCCTCTATAAGTGCTTTTTAGAGTTCTTGGGAACAGTAGCTCTAAGCCTGGAGTAAATGTTTGCCTTTGACCTGCATGGATTATTTTTTCAGGCTGCGGAATTTCTCGGCACCTACCTGCAGTGTGGGCCCCTTGGTCTGGTTGCAGAGTAAGAAGGTGGAAGAATGAGCTGTACTTGGTTAAGCAGTTGAAACCTTTTTTGAGCAGGACCTATAAAAGCATAATTGAATCTGTTTCACCCCCGTGGATTCCGGTGGGCCCGACAGCGCAACAGGTTTGCAGATTTCTTTTGAAATTCTTATTTTTCTCCCTCTGCCTCAGCAAAAGAGAAGGCTCTATATAACAGGTTCATGTTCAATTGCTTGGCTTTTCAGCACTTATTCCAAAGACTTTATAAGATTTTTTTTAACTTGACCTCTGAACACGGCGGGCTTTGTGGTTGAAGTGCATTTATGTTTACTTAGGGGTGCACATTTTAATCTCTTAGAACTAAGATTTTGTTTGTACAAAGACCCAAGTTCTCAAGTGTGCCTAGAAATAGCACAGATCTACTTACTCAGGCTTATTTTTACTTTTTCAGGATGTTCTACTTAGAGCCTGTACACTAATCACCTCCCGACTCCCCCTACCTTTTATTCCCGACCCCCTCAAGGAATTTGAACATGTGTTAGGAATAGTCCTTTGTTTTACTTAGGAACGTAGAAAATTACAGATTATAAGATCTGGATAATAAAGTAGTTTCCAAAAGCATCTCCTGGGAAATCAAAGCGCTTGGCATTCTCAAGCAGGAGAATAAAAGCTGGAATCCCTAGGAGAGAACGGAAAATAAAGATAGAAATATCGTTTAACTGGGAAAAATAATTGGAAAGCTAACCTTCTCAAATACTCTTCTAATTTTGAAAGTTGGAAAAGGAGGTGATACTCAGGATTATCCTGTAATCTGTGAAGACATAAATTAGCATCTAATTTATAGGCAAATTTAGGTAGAACATTAAAAATGACAGTATATTTAACTTCATGAAAAGTATTATAAATTCAATGGGCCTAGAACTTTGGCTACACTAAAATACAGTTTAATGTGGAAACTTTTATGAATACATGTTGTAGCATCTTTGGACGTCTCTCAAGGTGTGGCCTGAAGTATCGTACCCTCTCCTCCGTTAAAAAACAAAACAAAACAACAACACTTTTTTTCCTGTGATCTTCAGTCTTTTACCATTGACAAATTTTGTGGCTTAAAAAGGACCATCTCTTCATTTTCCGAGCTGGTGTTTTTCACTCTCACCTTCGATGCATGGCTTTCATTACTTACTTTGCCTTGTTTTGTTCATTAACATTGGGTTTAATGGTTCAGCAACTTGATGCATATGGAAGACCAGCACCGAGTGAACTGACATACTAAAGATTCGGGATGTGACATTCCACCTCAAGCAAAGTTGGAAATTCCAAAGAGAAGTGGTGATATCTTTACTAATCACAGTGAAGATGGGAGAAAATGACAGACCTGCAGCAGAAGTGGGCTGAAAACACCCTCTGCCCTGACAGATCAGGAATGCCACCTGTTCTTGGGAATATACTTTAGAGAAAGGAAGGGCCAAAATTACGACTTGGCTTTCGGAAACTGAAGCATCAATTCTCTTTTCCTCCATTTGTCTGGATCTGAGAAGCTGCATTTGGAATTGGCTCGTGGAAGCAGTATGTATGGCCGAAGTGCATTGCTGCAGCTGGTAGCATGAGTGGTGGCCACCAGCTGCAGCTGGCTGCCCTCTGGCCCTGGCTGCTGATGGCTACCCTGCAGGCAGGCTTTGGACGCACAGGACTGGTACTGGGAGCAGCGGTGGAGTCGGAAAGATCAGCAGAGCAGAAAGCTATTATCCGAGTGATCCCCTTGAAAATGGACCCCACAGGAAAACTGAATCTCACTTTGGAAGGTGTTTTTGCTGGTGTTGCTGAAATAACTCCAGCAGAAGGAAAATTAATGCAGGTAAGGATAATTTATTATATTTCACTTTCCATTTGTTCGAACTATGCCTTTCTTCTTTTGTCTCTCAAACCAAATACCGTACAAGAGCTTCTGCTGTTTAGTTTTCTGTTTGTTTCCTCTTTTAAGGATATTGCCTTATTGGCATTCTAAAACAAATCCTTATTTCTGCTAAAGAAGAAACATGAAATTCCACATTTTAGAAGATCATCTGCTTATTTTTAACTCTGCTATTGCACTGCCTTTTTAGATCCCCCTAATAAGGCCATTCTTTGCAAGTGATGTATTCTGGCCACTATTTTTTGATAGATTAAATATGTATGGACTTGTATTTAAGTGACATGAGGATCATACTTTATATCC